TCTTTCCTTCCGTCTAGAAACGCACGCGCCTGTGCGGATTTTGTGCGGCGCACACCACAGAGATTCTCTCTCTCTCTCTCTCTCTCCTCTCTCTCTCTCTCTCTCTCTCTCTCTCTCTCTCTCTCTCTCTCTCTCTCTCTCTCTCTCTCTCTCTCTCTCTCCTCTCTCCTCTCTCTCTCTCTCTCTCTCTCTCTCTCTCTCTCTCTCTCTCTCCTCTCTCTCTCTCTCTCTCTCTCTCTCTCTCTCTCTCTCTCTCTCTCTCTCCCCCCCCCCCAAAACACCCACCAGCCACTCGAACCTTCCACTGAGAGTTAATAAGGGAAAACATCACTGATCTAGTTTTATTTTCAGCACCATTTTCATGCCAGAGCAGCAGGAAAAGCCTCAATAACACAATAAATAACCAAACACAGGGAGAAAGTAGTCGTTTTAACAGAGACCCTGCCTGATTTCTTCAATGAGTGTTTCTCATATATATTTGATCTGTAAGCTAGGAGGGTGGAGACATGCAAACCAATTGTGAAATATTAATAAACACCCTGAAGACCACGTGAGACTGAAGCCCCTGCATATGCAAAAGATTGGATCTGGGTTTGTTCTGACTGCACAAGATAAAGCAGCGGCGGCAATAGGATGACAATTCTAGTGGATGAGGAGGCCTTTGTGGTTGTAAATAACAGCCAGCACCAACCAGCATGACAATGAATGGTTTGTAATAAAGGGAAAAAACAACCTATTAATACAACAACTTGTCTGTAAATGTGTATATCTGGCTGAACTGCTGTTGGGATATACGATGAGGGCAAACATCCCATCCTGCTCAGGTGGTGTCACACAGAGTTTAATGGTGACTGAATCTTTACTGATTAAATGTGTTTCTGTTTCAGACTGGTGCTATCAGACTCAGTTTATCTGCGAACATCCGTGCAATGGTAAGATTTAACACGTTTGAGATAAAAATGATAACTTTTGTGACATTTCACTAAAGTCTTCCACTAGAAAGCACTGTTTTTAGAAGTTATTAAATAACTTACTGCATTAGATTCTGACTCCAGAATAATTTTAGTCATGCCAATACATTTTGATGTATGAATTATGAAATCTTCAACCATGATTTTTTAAACATTTTTTTCATTCATTTTTAGGTGTGAATGAAACAAATTTCAACAAATATTTTTTGTGATATTTTGCTAATTTACAAATAATTTATTACATGTCAACCTCAGTGGACAGCATGCATTCTGAACATGAAATATGTTGGCATGACTTACTGAAGTCCAAATGGAGGGGCTCAAATGCAATAAAGTCTTCAACAGCTGTGCTTAATAGCAAAAATAAATAACAATTTTGAATGCCTGTCCACTGTAGTGACCATTATGCATCAAAGGGTTAAACTTATTAATTATCTGAATCCTGTAAAACATCTCAAACTAAATGAGCTGCCAGTTGTGTTGTACTTCAGTCAAAGATAAACACATCTGTTTTAACATTATAAGAAAACATCAATCAAATGTGTGTTTGATTTCATCTACAGATAATTATAGAATTAGAACAAAATGGGACTGATGACACATCCATGTGGTACACCAAAAAAGTTCCTAATGATTGTTAAAGATTTAAAACAAAATTTTAAGATGTTTAACACTGGAAAATAAGTCAATGTTGAGAGGTCTGTCCAAAGTCTGAAATTTTTTATTTTTGAAAGTTATACAAGCCAACAAACTTGGTGCTGCTGATCATGTTTCAGCACCAGAAAAGTGGAACCATGCCAACCAGGACTGTGCAGGAACAAACCAGTCTCCCATCAACATCGTCACCAGAAAGACCTTGAAAGATGAACGCCTGATTCCTCTACAGTTTAAAAACTACCAGCAGATCTTCAGAAGCATCATCAAGAACAACGGCCACTCGGGTAAGTTTAGCATCCATTAAACACCAAAAATCTAACACGGCCAATAAATGTAAAACCTTCCGTGCACGATTTATGGTTTTTACAGTTCAGGTTGGAGTTCCTCACATCAGCACAGTCTCTGGTGGAGGTCTGCCAGCGACCTACAAGGCAGTGCAGTTCCACCTGCACTGGGGCGACAACGGTGGGCCCGGTTCTGAACACACCATTGATGGAGAGCAGTATCCCATGGAAGTGAGTAGTCTATCCAAATGAGCAGACACCAGATAACAAACATCTGCTTTGTGAAGACAACAGTGTACAACACTGAAGATTACTTTGATTTCATTTTCATTTGATCAAATATTTCAGCAGAAGAATGAAGAATGTTGTTGATGGTTGTTGTTCTTTAAACTAACAGATTTTTGCTTTAATCACAATGTTATTACTGAAAGTTCCTCCTGAGCTGTAAGAAATGAGACTTTGGTAAAAAAAAAAGAGGCAACTTTTTCTTTCAGTTACATATCGTTCACATGAAGAGCCACTATACCGACCTGACCACAGCGCTCAGAGATAAGGAAGGGGTTGCTGTTCTTGGATTTTTCTATGAGGTAATCCTTTTAGGCTTCTATTGAAGTACGCCTTTTGCGGTGAGGTAAAACAACAGTTCTCACATGTTCTTCTTGGTTTGAGTTCTCCTTTTTGAGGTGATATGAAACAACAGTTCTCATCTTTTGGTCTTTTAGAAATCCAACAGCGCAAACAGAAAGTACGATCCCATCATCAACACGCTGCAGCGAATCAAAGCTACAAGTAAGCAGCAGTGAAGTTCTACACAAATCCAAATCATGGCTGTAAAGATTTGCTGCTTACTTGGTTTCTGCTTTTAGACGGCAATACCTCTCTGCCCTCCATCTCACTGGCACAGCTGATCCCACCTGAGCAGAATCTGACCTCTTACTACCGTTACAAAGGTTCTCTCACCACACCGGGGTGTACAGAGTCTGTGGTTTGGACCTTGTTTGAGAACCCCATCCCTCTGAGCGCAGAGCAGGTTAGAGAGCGAAACAAGCAGAAGGAGCCCACCTGATTTTACTGCTGCTTTAAAAATATTTCTGATGATCAACATCAACGTTGAACCTTTAATGTTTGTGTTGTTCTTTAGTTGAAAGAGTTCTCCACGGTCCAGTATCATGATGGCAAGCCAATGATAAAGAACTTCAGGCCCGTTCAGTCTCTCAATGGCCGGCAGGTGTTCCGCTCAGCAGGAGCCGTGTTCCTGGTCAGCTTGACTCTTCTGGTGGCTTCCCTCGCCATGACGATGGGTCTGTCCTAACAGAACTAGAGTGAGACGCTCTTCTGCACTGCGACATCCATCAACATAGGTCTACATACACCCTCATCTCAGTCCGTGTTTCCAACATTCTTCTCATCTGGTTGCTACGGTGATGGACCACGTCGTAGTGCAGGGTACTCCCTTTGCTCACCCTTCAGACACAAATGACAAAGGCATCTGAAGAATGCCTTATGAGAGGTGCTGTAAGGGTTTGATCAGCGTTCACGCATGTCTGCTGAAGTAGTGAATTTTATTTAAGCGTTACAATTGCGCCATAAGGACGGATACCAGGCAGTTAAAGGGATTACTCAAACTCAAGAGCCTTTAATCAGGTTGTGATTTTCTCATGTTAAACACACACACACACACACACACACACACTTATTATCAGGCCTCATCCACCTTGTCCAGTGTCGGTTAAATTTAGTCTCTGTTAATACCACCGTGAGTTGCCAATGGTTTTAGCTCTGAGAGCCGGTGTCGGCGCCGTGACTTGGCACATTGTTCTTAACAGAGTATGTGAACAGCATGGAGTTATAGATAGCAGACCTGGGTCATACAAAATAAGCTCCATTACAAAGCCAATGGTCAAGGCAGTCAGCCGTTTGGCTCTAGGTAGTCTGTCTGATCAGACAAAGGAAGCTGTCCTCTGTAATTTGTTGTGAAGAAAATTCGTAAAGAGCAAACAAGCTGGTTCCAGTACCTAACTGGAGCAAGAGCCTGCTAAACACCAGCTCTTTCTGTTTCCACTGCTAAAAGATCTGAGTCTAGCGCACCAAAACAAAACGCTGTGCTTAAAAACGCAGTTTCTTTTAAATTTGCTTAACTTAAGACAAAATACTTTGTTTCAGCATGAATACTAACTGAAATTAGCAAAGCATGAGCTCATCTAGTTTGTGTGTTGTTAAAATTACAGGTTAGTTTTTAAATCACAATTTTAAACGTCGTTTATAAACTAAAGGGATTCGAATGAAGGCAACTGAATTTATGTTTCTTCAATTCTGAATGGATAATACTCCTCGGATGAAAAGCAAAACATCTTCAAGAAACACAAGAAGTGGATTACCATTCCCTGGATGACCTGAGAACCCTCACCAGCATCATTTATAAACATTGTTTACTCTTGTTTACTCTTAATATCACCAGCTGGTGTTTGTAAATCCAGTTTGAAAGGATGTGTGAAACTCTCTCTTATAGCAGCGTTTACTCTTTGGAGATGGTTGCAGAAGGTTCCCGAGCAATGACTGTTGTTTAAAATGGTGTTTAAAGAAATGGGTGCAGTTAAGTGTGTTTATCAGGAATTTTGAGGGAACGCCGGTGATCCTCTACAGAAACTCTGAATAAAACAGAGGTAATGTCAAACATTTACTAGAGGAGACTTTGTTCCCTGATGGTGGAAAACCAAACCACAACCACTCTTGTTCTAGCACCGAAACTTCTTTAATAGATCACCCAAAACAATAACTAGAAATGCAGATTTTCTAACATTGGACTGGTTTAGAGTCAAAAGGAAACATCTTCAACAACTACAACAAATCTTCCAAACCAGCCTCTTTACATTCATGTACTGTAAGTCACATGTGAAGCGCACGAAGCTGCATGTCATGATGTTCCTGATGTTTAATATAAGCTTCATGGTTGCTGGAGTGGGGCCACGTGGTGGTGCAGTGGCTAGAGTTGTTGCCTTGCAGCGAGAAGGTGCTGGGTTTGCTTCCCGGCCTGGGATCTTTCTGCATGGAGCTTGCATGTTCTCCCTGTGCATGCGTGGGTTCTATCCGGGTACTCCGGCTTCCTCCCACAGTCCAAAAACATGACTATTAGGTTAGTTGGTCTGTCTAACTTGTTCTTAGGTGTGAGTGTGTGTACAATTGTTTGTCCTGTGTGTCTCTGTTGCCCTGCAATGGACTGGCTCTCTGTCCAGGGTGTAGTCCACCTGATTGCCCATTGACTGCTGGAGATAAGGCACCAGCCACCCCCCACGACCCTACGGGGACAAGCGGGCTCTGAAAATGGATGGATGGGCTGCTGGAGTGAGGCCTCAGGCACGGTTTCCAAGGACAAAGCCAGATTTCAGTGGGCTGATCGTGCCAACGCACATGCTTGTATGTTATCAACCTTGAACTACACCCCATTGTTTTCTGCTCGTTAAAGGAGAACTATTAATGTATTTTGGAGAGAGATCTGTGCAATGCTGCACTAAAATGCAGACTAAAAATCTGTGTTTTCCATTTTTTCATAAGGAATCAAGTTATATTTCTATACCATGTCATTGCGCAAGTGTATTTATGTACCTGAATGTTTATATTGACATGAGTCATTATGTATTGCATTGTTTATATAGAAAGAAAACCTATATATGAAGCATCAAGTTTACTAATGTTAAAGCACACAGGACTGTCAGGTTGTAAAGCTCATATAGTGAATGTTACTGCTGAACAATAAACTACATGACTTTTTAATACTAATGTCTTCCGCTTCACATCTTTGTTAAAACGGTTAACCTCCAAAGACCGTGTTGATGCAGGGGTCTGTCATTTCTTACACAATTAAAGGAAAATAAAGTTATGCCAGTCAAATCTTTAGTCTACATAAGATTTAAGGATTTGTGTCATTTTTATTCAAATTTGCAGCGACTGAAGCAAAAACATGATCATCTAACTAGGATCCTTACTTTTCAAGACTTGGTTTTAATGAAAATGATCCACAGGGTGAGTTTCAGTTTTTTTTTATTATTCATCATCTCCTTTCAGTCTATTCATCAATTTTCTCATCTATGAAAGAGCTGCAGATCTAACAGGTCCAGATGGGAAACCCAGATATCTTCCTCTCCAGTGACACCCTTTAGCTCCTCCCGGAGATCTCGGAGATGACATAAAACATCCAATAGAGGAGATCAAGGTGAGTTTTGGAACATAGATCGGGCAATCAGCCCAGCTCCTTCTTCACCTTGATGGACAATCACCTGCCCACAAACACATAGCAGCAGACAAAACCCTGTTTGTCCACCTAGCTCCGTCCTACCAAGACACCAACGTCTGAACCTCTGCAACTGAGACGGCAGCTCATCCCAAACACTGTAGGAGCATTCCATCTTCCATCTAAAATTGTACTTCTACTCAGTCACCCCCTACTCTTTTGACCATGCCAAATGTGTCTTTGAAGAATAAAAAGGCTTATTGAAGCACAAGCCTGCCACAGAAGCATGCATCAAGTATGAATGGATGAATGATCCCTTCTTTTCCCTGCATAGGTTTCAAATTCTTCTGAGGCAGGGGGAGCGGCAGGTCAATGGGTCACAGCTCCATATCTGGGAGTGGCACCTTGTGATCTTTAAGTTAAAAGGACTTGCAGCCTAACTCACTTCTAAATGCCAGACGTCCCAGATCCCTTGGACCTGTGTGACAAAGGGCACTGTTTTAGAACAGACCAGAGACATCTTCACTGTGAATGTGACCTACACCGAAACACACGCTGCCTCCAACCAGATAGCCAGCTGCTGTTAAAGGTCACCGGGTCGATCTTTGTGTCAACACTCTCACGATAAACAAACAGAGTCACCTCTCTCCACACAGTTCCCGTCACAAAGCTGTTGCTAACATTTCAGACCCAACTCATATTGCTAACGTCATCATTGTGCTGTCAGTGATATAACCAGACCCACAGAGGTGTCAGCCAACTATTGTGGCCATAATGTAACTTTAGCCAGGCCTGGAGAATAACTCACCCCACGTCTCGCCAGGTATGCAGCAGGGGTCGTAGTCCATAACAGCAGAAGCTTCTGTTCATTTCACGGGACATAACATTTTGGATTTTGGTGTTTTTGTGGTTTTTTATTGCTCTCAGCGATGAATTTCTTAGTTACAGCAGAGATGTGTCTCCTGTGTTAACCCCTGTGTCGTCTCTTACTTCCCCTCAGCTCGCCACTCACCTGTTTCCCATCAGTTAGTTAGTCCAGCTGTAATTAATCAGTAATCATCCTCTTCAGTGTAAAGAGTTTAGTTTCTTTCTGCCATGCCAGCCTGATGTCCTAAAGTCACACTCAAACACGATAATTATTAAAAATATCACTTTCAATTTCACTCATGCCCCACTGAAACCAAGCTTCTGGCTAGAATTGCATCTTCCACACAATGGCGTTGTTTCCACGGTTACAACAGGTGAAAATTAGTTCAGTTCAGGTCTATTTATAAACCATCAGTTCATAAGAGAAGTCGTCACACAGCGCTGAGCAAGACAGAAATATAAATCATACCAGGCCCAGATTCAAGTCAACTGACTCCAGTAAATGCAATAAAATTTTAATAGACTACATTTATCACAAAATGCTAATTAGTCTAATTTGTTTGCGTGAAAAGGAACCAGTAAATTTGATTAAAGCACAATTTTAAAGAATTCCCATCATTCTTAGCAGCACTGACCTGAGAGACAAAGAGACAAGCAGAGAACAATGTTAATGTCTGTAACAACAGTGAAAAACAAAGATAAAGACAGTCAGCAGAGTGAGAACGTGTGGTCAGCACACACATTTGACATTTGTTGAAGATGTATAAATTCTCATCTGAAAGGCTAATTTAGATCTGATTGTGCATGGCAGGGGAATTCCATTCTGGGGGTTGGGGGCCGGTGTCCAGCACGTTTTAGTGATCTTTCGGCTTCAACACACTTGATTCAGTGGTTTAATCACCTGTACAGCAGCTCATCAGGCTCTGCAGAAGCCTGTTATTTACAGTCCATCCATCCATTTTCAGCCGCTTATCCGGGCTTGGGTCGTGGGGGCAGTAGCCTAAGCCGGGACGCCCAGACATCCCTCTCCCCAGCTGCTTGAGCCAGCTCTTCCGGGAGAATCCTAAGGCGTTCCCTGGCCAGCCGAGAGACGCAGTTCCTCCAGCGTGTCCTGGGTCTTCCCTTGGGTCTCCTCCCAGTTGAATGTGCCTGGAAAACCTCACCAGGGAGGCGTCCAGGAGGCATCCTGACCAGATGCCCAAGCCACCTCTACTGGCTCCTCTCCCTGATGACTGAAATCAGGTGTATTGAAACAGAGTTCTAACTAAAACCTGCTGGATACCGGCCCTCCAGGCCCAGAATGGAATACCGCTGGTGTACAGGAAGTTTATACAGGCAAAAGGCATTAAAAAAAACGTTCATAATTACTGTAAAGTACAACGCCTAGCTTTAGGCTGCTTCTGACAATTATTGTGAACTGGGTCAGTCATACCAAAGCGAGCTAACACAAATACATTTAAAAATACCAGAATTGAAGCATTTCTCTTACAAATAAAGGTTCTAACTACTGGAGGACATTCAGCTACTACATGGAATTCTAGTTCCATTGCCATGAAACTGAATGAGTAAAAAATTGTTTTCATTTGTTCTGTTTGCAAAGACGGATTAAGTGTGGCAGCCATCTTGATTTAAATTGTAGATGTTCATTTTGTGGGGTTTCTTGCCAAAAGACAGTAAAGAAAGTGGTGCAGCATTGAGTTTCCTTGTTGGCCAACACTGACAATTCACTTCCATCTAACACAAATAAAATGTCATTTGGTCCAGTTGCCCAAAAGTCTGAGGGTGTGCAGCACTGAAAGAGTGAGTTTTACCTTCTCTGCTTCTGGTTCTGTCAGATTGTCCAATAGGACTTGTGACACAAGAGCCAGCATTGTGTGAAATCCACCAAGCAGATACGGCGAGTTTACCTCAAATATACTCTAACAAAGTCTCAGAAAAAACCCAGGATAAAGAAGTTGACCTCTGTTCTGCAGTACAGATAAAAATACAAGTGTGCACAAAGTTCACAAGCCCACATCCTGGCATTTTTGTTGCAAAAAGCACTCGAGGGTGACCTGAGAGCAGACTTGGACTGACGAGGCGTTAGCCAGCAGGAACAGGGATCAGACTGGAGAGAGAGATTAACAGAAACAAAGATACCTGTTAGCATTCACAACAAATGGGATACAAACTTGCTCTATTTCTGGACAACAATTGCATTTTAGCTGCATTGTTCTCCGGGAACGGGGTGACCGTGTAAAGAAGTGAGGAGTGATGTGAGGTTTTATGCTGATTTTGCATTCCTGAGTGAACCTTATTAATGACGGCTTTCCCTATTCAGGTTTAAACCAACAACTTCCAGATCCTGGTGTGGTTTTAGGAAATAGTTAGCAGCATTCAGATTTGTTGGTACTTTCCCACAATGTAAAAATAAACAACTGCTTTGATACAAGTTGACTATTTAATAATTGAGTTAAAATGGCAAGGCCAGATGTGAATGTATGGAACCATCAATGTAAATTTTGATGGCAGCACAAGTCAGTCTAATTTCTTCAGCCCTTATTGGGTCATTATCCTGTTGATGGACCCATGACTTGTGACTGAAACCAGCTTTTCTTACACCTAGCAGCACCTTTCGCTCCAGGATGCCTTGATAGCCTGGATGTTTCATTATTCTTTACATTTTTAAAAACCCTTGTGCCAGATGCAGCAAATACCCTCCATGTTTTACAGGAAGTCCAATGTTCCTTTCTTTGAAAGTTTCATTTCTCCTTCTGCAAGCATAGAACTGAAGTTCCAAAGAAAAAAAAAGGTCCAGTTTTTTCTCCAAAGGATCCTCTCCTAGCCTTAGTCCTCGTCAGCATGTATTTTTGGTAATTTCCAATCTTTTAAGCGTTTTTCTGTCAGTAGTGAAGCCCTCTTGGGTCTTCTTCTTTGAAGCTCATTGTGGATGCTGAGATCAGAAAGTAATGTACCTTGATCTTGGAGTCTGGTCTTAAATGGCCCCCTTGGCTCTTTGTCTACCATCCACACCATCCATCTGATCAGTTAGATGTAGGATTACGAGTCTCTTTGGGGTAAACAAATGAAATCAATCCAAACCTTTTTAACAAACACGGGTTTTGTTCATACAACTTTATTCTCTACAAACTGAAGGCAGACAAGACAGCATTAGACAAATCCAACTTTATTTCAATGAGCTGTAAGAGAAATGTGTCCACTATTGCACATATTTAATATTTCTGACAATACTCTGATGCTAAACTTTAGACGGATCCAAAAGAATCTCTGAAAATGTGTGAAATGTGCAGAGGCGGTTCAGCAGGACACAGAGCTTACCCTCAGATCTTATCCGAGCACCAGACAAAGATCTGGCTGCTGATCATATTCCCACATCCACACATGAGGAGAAAATGCACCAGACTGACTAATCAAGCCTTGCAACCATCCTCACTGGATTCCTTTTTTTCCTGGATGGCTGTAAGTTTTCCAGTCTGAATCTCATAAGTTACACCAACTGGCTGCTATGACAAAGAAAGTCTGCTGCTGCATCACGACATCACCCCACCACCACCACCACCGCCATTCACTATCGAGACTCTGCCTCTTACCCACCATCACTCAGATCTACTGCCTTCCGCATGCTAAAAAAGCCTCACAGAGGGAAAAAACATTTGGAAAGAACTGAATTCTGGCTCT